ATTATAGTTTATTATTATTATCATCATTATTACCAGTAGTAAGTAATAGTACTTGTGTAGTATCATTATCATTATCAATTTCATTACCATTATTATCAGTATCATTATTATCATCCTCATCGTCATGTTTATGGTATTATTTGTTTATTAATTAATATCATTTATCGAGGGTGTATCATATTTGTGTTTCTAGGTAGACCATTATATACATCCATTTGCTTATTGATATGGTATTTTTGTTAATTCTATATTATCAATATATTATTATTTCATTATCATTATATCATGCATTATCATTTATCATCATTATTACTTTATATATACTTTATCTATTCCTTTTCACATTGTTAATATGATTTCTATCCTTATTCTTCTAGTTAATTATTATCTATTATAATTAATATAATATTTATTATTAACATTCACTAATCAATAATTACTATTACCTAATTTGAGTATTTAATCATTTATTATTTATTAGTATATAATATGTTCATGTAAATTTATAATTGTTGGTTGTTGTTTGTAATTTATCGTCTTATCTATTTATTAGTGGAGTATTTAGTAATTAGATTAATCATTATGAATTAGAAATGTTGTTATATACGGGCCCATTTGAGTCTGGGCAGCTCAATATTTTCTATTACTCATTATCGACTGTATATTACTATGAATGCATTTATACGAGAGATATAATATTACTTATTTCAAGAATATACATTATAATTCATCTATAATTAATGCAGGTGATTATTATTATCATTATAATTTAATCATTATTGAAATAATTATTGATTATTACTTTCATAATTATTATTATTATCATTGATCATTCACTTATACTTAATTATTTTTAATTCACTTGTTAATCTATATTCTTTAGGATATATTAATTGTTTATCATCACATCAATTATAATTGATCAAGTACATGACATTAATTAATAATACTATATGATTTGATTCTTCGTTTATATATTGATTATTTATATTATTAATCTTATTATTTTATATTTTATTATTTTATAGTATTATACTTATTTATTAGTTTGCCATTTATAAGTTGTTTCTATTTATTTTGTATTATTTATTGATCTAATCTTTTCTGCATTTATTATATGGTACCTAATTGTTAATTTATCTATAATATATAATTTATATCTAGTATTCTATTATATCTATATCTATTTCATCTCATTTTAGTCATATGCTTACGCTATTCTATGTATATATGATTATATCTATATTAATGATCTATTATATTTAGTTAATAACTTACACGCTTCCACAGTTATATATAGTTATCTGATTTATGTATTATACAATATGAGAGTTTTCAATTGATTATAGCTGTTATTTGTATTTTAATATGTATATTATGTTTATATTATCTTTACTCTCATATAATTGGTATAATTATTTAATGCTTGATTATATATTACTTTATTATTGATTATATCATGACTATGATAATTATTATAGTATGCAAACTGAATAATTATATTTTAATATGATTTTCACTATTATATTTATACTGATTATGATTATTTGTATTTAAGATAATTAATTTATTTTTTTTTATTTTGTATTTTTTATTGTCACTTATATTATTATATTAGCTGATATATATATTAGTATCTATATTATAATGGTAATAATTTATTTATCTAATATTTTATATCATATGTCAATGTATCGTATGTGATATGATGTATATATTATATATAATACTAATTTGAGTAATGAATTATTATTATATATATTATGGTTATTTAACTATATGTTATATATGTTTATTAACTATATGAATTCTATTTTTCTTATTTTGTATAATCATGTCCTTATTTAGCATATTAATCACACAGTGCCTTCTCCATATATCCTCTGTCGGACTATCTTTATGTGTATCTATGCCGTATAGAGAGAAACTACTGCTGTCTATATGTCTGACTTCTCGCTGTGGATGATTCTTTCCTATATTTCATATCAGCGGCCAGTCCTCCTATACACTTGACCTCTGAAGTTTCTTTTGTATTCCATCTGTATATGTTTTTTTTTCTATCTGACTCTTCTCTATACTAGTGTCTGAGTATTCTGTGCATACTATATCTTATATTACTTCTACTTCTTTTCTATCGCTTGTGGTATAGTCAATTTCGCTGGTGTTTTTATGTACTTTAGCACTTCTACTTCCTCTTGCACATCTAGTCTCTAGTGCGAGCTGATTATGTGTTCTTATTTGGCATGCGGTCTGTCTGTATCGAACCTACATGTTACTTTAGCATACATTCGCAAACACTCTCTATCTTTCCATACTGCTCTGCCAACTGATGTGCTATTGAGACTACCTTTTTCTTATATGACGAATATGTAATAGATATAATACCGATAATAATCATTCTGCACCATAATTATGATCAACTTCTAGTAATTCTATTGGTAATGTGTCGCCATGTGGAAGGGCATGAAATTGAAATGATATAAACATAGTGAGGATGGTA